ATTTACTTTAACAACAATGGCAAAGTTTATTGAACCTTATTAGATTTGTTTAAATAAAGCTAAAATTTATTGTTCATACCTAATAGGTACATATAAATAAGTTTATAAGTTTTCCGGAAAATAAGGTGCGATTTTTTTATTGGGACACCCTGCACAGCCGCGCTATCAAGTTAAGATAAGTAAACAATTACAGAATCGGACTAGTCATATCTAAATCACTCAACAATCATAATTTTAAATCAATCATAGGTGTTCTTATAATTTTCCGCGTTTTTCGGAATCTGGAGACCATTGTGCGCCGTAGAAACGAACGATCGCATTGTGATCCGATTCAATTCTTACGATTCCTTTTTACGGCTCATCGTTCGAATCTTATGGATCCGTGCTGGCCACGATTCAATTGAATGAACCGTATTGTAAGCAATGAATAAATTCTCACGACTCTTTGAACGAACGATCGCATTGTGATCCGATTCAATTCTCACGATTCTTTTTTACGGCCCATCGTTTAAATCTTATGGATCCGTGCCAGCTAAGATTCAATCGAATGAACCGTATTCTAAGCAGTGAATCGAATCACACGATTTATTTTTAATACTCGTTCAAATAAACGACTCGTTCAAATTTTGCCCACCTCTATTGTAATATCCACGTTATCCACTCTATCCTCTATTGTAAAGACTATTAATATTTAAGTGTTATCGAGTGTGTTCCATTTGAGAAAACAGATTCAGACGGCAAGGAAATAAGAACGACAGTGATGTCTGTCAATGGAATCTTCTGGCGTAAATATATTATGAAACGTAAGATACAACATATATAACACTCTAATTAAGAATAATTTATTATACAGTTCAGAAACTTGGAGAATGGCAGAAAAATAAAAGAATCAAAATGCATGCACTAAGAAAATTAGTTAGAATATCAAGAATCGAAAGAGTTAGAAATAAAAATATCCGAAAATAAATGGGAATTTAGGACACAAAATTATACAAAATTATTCAATTACACTGACATCGAATAAAAATACTTAGCTGGTAAGACCATTTATCACACGCTATATACAATAACAACAGATTACCTATAAAAACAATGAATTGGACACCACATCGCTGGAAAAATAGAGGTAGCCCAAAAAGAACTTGGCGCGTTTGTAAAGCCATGAGTATGAGAAATTTAGACTAAATACCGGACAACGTCGCCGAACGTTCAAAACTCACTAAATTTCATTAGTTTTGTTAATAAAATTTATAAATTAATTGAAATTTACCTACTTAACCAAACACTTAACAAGAACCAAAACGGACTTTGTAAACTACCTGGTTTCTCTAGTTAGCAGCTCTTTTAGTACACTGAGACAAAATATCCATTTTAAACAGATTTTGCAAATAATTTGCAGACTAACCAGTTAGATTGCAAGCCGGTTAGTTTTAAAACTAGCCAAAATTTCATTTTAGCCGTAACACATGCACTAGGAATAAGATGAATTTCTATCATATATTTTATAATCAAATCATGTCTGAATATCAATCCAAAATATGTCTTACGATTCGTGAGTGGGTAGATCGTGATGTTTTATGTAAATATCTATAGTAAACAACAATTACATGATGTTTTGTTTTAATAAAAAGCATACTTAAACAGTTGTAAACAAACTGTCCCAGGCGCCGCGCCGCGCCGTTCTGAATAAAATCAAATTGAATTCTTTTTTTGGCATCACCTTACACTATTTTGGTTCATTCAACTTTATATCATTGCGTCTAATTTACTACTACTTCCTGTTAATGTTTACAAATTTAATTTATATCTCTTGTAAAAATATTAGAGACTGCTAAAAACTAAGAGATTTGAAATAGCATAATACTCCAATACAATAATTATTCATATAATTATCAGAATTTAACAACTGTAAAATGTTAATCAGTGGTTTTAGAAACATTTTTATTTTAAAAAACAAAAAAATTATAATTTTTTTTCGAAAAATACAAAAATTAAAAAAAAATGCGAGAAAAAATCATAGACGTGTTCCTAGGGTAGAAAATATACCAGCACTCAAAGTACTTATATAAGATACTCTGTATTGGTTTCAAGATAAGAAAAAACAATTTATAATATGTATATTTAGCTTCAAGAAAGAATTAAGAATGTGTATCCAAAAACAGTTTCTTTATTCTATTTTTAAACCTTCTGGATTATATACATATGTACTCGTATAATCGTGATGTTTTATGCGAATATCACAGTAAGCCATATTTACATTATGGCTTATATTTATTACTAGCGCACTTATTTCCCGGTATCACTTTACACTATTTTGGTTCATTCAACTTTGTATAAATTTTAGGCTATTTTAGTGTACTGTTATTATTTATATTATCATTATTTTGTATTTTTTTTTAAAACTGCTAAAATGAATGGAAAATTTGAATACCTATTATTAGCGTAAGTGTGAATTATACTATACTGAATTATTTTGTTTTAAATAATTCAATAGAGCTTCATGCCAATCTTATGTTCTGCTTTATGTAGTTTTCTAGCTAAGTTTTCAGTTTTATCCACTCTATCCTCTTGTTGTCACTCTTTATTTTTCCAAATGTACATCGCTGCATCGGCAATTTCGTGCTACCTGCATTTTCTTTATGAGTTCTTGTTTAACTGTCCATGTTTCACCATCATGACCAGTAATATCAACTCATCAAAAGGGTTTTTAAGGAGGTGATATTCTAGGTTTGAAGATGAGGAAATTCTTGAACCAAAACACTTTATATTGCACCGGACGCGCGTTTCACAACCACCTCCATCATCAGCAGATGATTAAAACTGAGTTTTAATCATCTGTTAATTCAACTCTTTCATGACATTTGCAAAAATAAAATAATGTTTTTTAGGCCAAACAACTTTGGGAAATGCGAAAACTAGATTCAGAGTACTATGTATACTTACAGAAATATGCTGATGAAACCAGTTATTACCAGCCAAGTTATCAACTCTCGACTGTTTCTTCAACTCCTAAATTATACATATAACCGCGCTGTCTTCAGCACACTTTTTTATATTTTGTCTGCTCATCGCAAACATCGGCGGGTGCATCAGAGTTAAATCAGCAGATGTTACAACTGAGTTTTAATGCTGAGGATTCTAACATTATTATCGAAACTGGCGTCCAGTGCAAAAGTAAAGTGTTTTGGTGTATTGTGGTAAATTAGTGTTTTATTTTGCTGTTTTAACACCAAAAATTCCAACTCTCAACTGTAATACTTAGTTAAATTGAAATTTTTAATGTCAGAAATCTTAGGGCACGGCAGTGTACAGGCCAAATTGGCCACAGCCATACCGTCCTCGAAACAGCTAAGGCACTTTTGACGCCACTGTAACTTCGTTGCGAATAAAGCAATAATCTTAAGAGTCTATTTCACTAGTGCGAAAAAGTAGCAAAATAAGCATTCGGAATTTAATGTTTTATATAAAACTGGCTAGGTATTTTTACACAAACGAAGATGGAAATTAAAGATGAAGGATTATACTATATCCGTATTGTAACACATTTTTAGGCAACTTCTTTATTTTTAAGATTTTGAAGGTCAAACATCAACAAAATATTCCTTATGTTTGGACTAAATTTTCTCGAAAATAACGACATAATTTAAAATTCCGTTACAATACGGAAATGGACTGAAGTTTTGTGATTACAGTGATATATAATTTGGATTTGTAATATGGATTTGTAACAAAGCAGATGTGTTTGGAATTTCTGGTGTGGCTTAACACAACAGGATCAGGCTAAGCCTTAGGCAGATTTCTGAAATATAATATATATTTCCTTTGGCCACACCCCCGCTTTACCCGACCCCTGAGAGCGACCCGAACTGTACAGTTGTACAGCGTACAGCGTAATAGACTCTTAATTTTTAGTCATCAACAGGGTACGGTTCGGTTAGGTTAGGTTAGGTTAGGTTAGGCTATATTACCAATATAACTAGTAATTACACCATATATGTAGTTTATGAATTATCACTAGTCAGAATCATTTAATTTCAACAGTAGCTCACTCACCGGTCATCAAAATTTGAATTTGCATTAGCCTTTAGCCTATAAATAGAGGAAGGAGAAAATTAATAAAGATCATTAAGTCAAGCGTAGAACCGGTAAAAGGGTATTTAGTCGACATGAAGTTGCACAAATTAGTTTTGATTGCTTGGGTTTCAACATTTTTTAGTGATTATCTGGTTTCTTAAATTTAAAACCTTGATTTTGAAAATTGAATATCTCACAAATTTTCAGTCAGCTGATATCGATCCGCTCTGGTCATGAATACTACGTTTACGTTTTTCGATTTATAATTGTGATTGCTAAGGTTGATTGATGATTAGGTATAGGTAGACTTATGTATTTACCTATGGTATTATTTAGAAAGATATCTTACCCGAGAAAAATAAGAAAAACCACCTACAAAAATGTTGCTTAAAAACCAACCATTATGTATTATGTAAATCATTGGTTTCTTATATTTTCACTGGTTTGAAAATCTTGATTTTGAAAATTTAATATCTCACGTCAAACTTTCGGTCAGCTGATTATCGATCGGCTCTGATCGTTAATACTACGTTTACATTTTTCTATCTATAATTTCGATTGTTACTGGTTTGATAATTAGGTATAAGTAGGCTTATGTATACTCCTACTGGTGTTATTTTGAAAGATGTGCTACCTGAGAAAACCAAGGAAGATCACCTAAAAATATGTGGCTTGAAAACAAACTATTATGTACCTCATCTTATTATAAACAATATAGCGTTACAGAAGAGTTCTATATAGAATCTTTGAAGATGCTAATAAATACCAGTTCGGAGTTCATTCAACTTTACGTTCACCCCTATATTCATCCCCCCAATTTCTCCTTTCTTTCCAATCTCTCTCTACCTGTTCCTGCTGGAGACGACAGCTCCGAACAGCCACCTGTAAGGGCAAGGGCACCCGACCCCCAACGCCCCTTCACTCACCTCCAAATCGTCATGTTGCCTCTCTGATCCTATCCTCTTTCTCCCTCTCATGCGCACTGTAACTCCACCACCATATCGGGGGCACGTGCACTGCGGCGGCGGCGAAGACGTCGGGACGCACGTGCTGACGGCGTCGGGCGCGAAACTTTCACAGAGCGCGCGACAGCGGACGAGACACAACTGGCTGCGAGATTTCTAAATAGCACGCGGCCACACTGCAATCGGATGTCTTCGGCCAACAAAAGACCTTCCTTCGGGAGGGGATTCCATCAGTTCCTGCTTATTATTAAATAACGCATTTTTGAAGCTCTTTACTGCTATTAGTGTTTCCAGTAATCGGCTGCCTAGTAAAGATGGGTAGATTCGGTATTTTAAAAGAGTCGGATCCGGAGTTATATAAGCTTCATCAGTGATGCCAACTCGTGGGAACCCTCGAGATCCGGAGGGAAATGGAAATTTTAACCCTTAACTGACGTGGTGAATTTTTCTACCGCTTATGGCTTTCATTCATTTTCAATAAATTAATAAGAATGCACACAAAAATAAAGTAAAACACATTTTTTAAGGATTTTTGACAACAGAAATGTAACTTTGTTAAGAAACCCATAAAAATTAAAAACATATATAATTTATGAGTTTCCCGTATTATTAAAAGTACAAACAACTAAAATGTGAAGCTAAAGTAATAAACATAAATTATTTTCAACACAACTGCAAACCTTGAATGTACATAACTTTTTCAAATACAGTTCATGTTAACATAGGATCTGCAGTTGCCGCACATGGATCGTACACATTTGATTCATGAGATTTTTGTGTTTTGTCATTTCTTCGTTGACATATATCCCATCTCTTTCTTTTCTGGTATTGATTATTCAATTTTCTCTGTTCTGTACTTCTGTATATTTTCTAACTTCTGAGTTATGGTTACTCTTTGGAGAAAAATCAATGTCTCGATGATCTTCATCTCACTTAAGCCTCTTTAAGTTCATCAAACCACTCAATTAATGCTTCCTCAAAATTATCGTCCCCGTGAGGCTCGCTTTTTAGACTACCCACCATCCTAATACTAAAACATTCTAGGCGTGGTGGTGCCACAAAGACCCCAATCAAACTTTAGCCCCCGCTGGTAGGAACAATAATTTATAAAAGCTAGTGCACCTTTAACAGTTGCATATGGGTACCCTAACTTAAAGATAAATGGCGCGGCGAGGCCTAAATCTTAAACGTAAAAATTTTACAGAGTTTTAAATAGTACTTGGTTTGGTTTGACCCCACCACGCCAGTTGAGGGTTAACCCAAAACACCATACTCGTGGGAAATTCTAAATTCATGTATTATTCGTGAAAAAATAGTTTTCGTATAATACGCATTTCTCAGCAAAGTGAGTAAATTCAAACTAGCACTACCGCAACTAAATACACATTTTCGGTTGGTATCAGACATTATTCTTGTACCCACACTTTTCGAATACATGGTAAATTTTGAGTGGGCTGAAAAATTGAAAAGTCTATTTCGAAATATCTTTAGTAAATTTTTCAGTTAAAAAAAAATATCTGTGTTGTGTTGCCGACACTATACTGGATTTGAGAACTCTTGCGAATTTTTAGAAAAAAATGGAAAATTTTGACCGTCTTCGTGAGAAAATCTATTTTATAAAGTTGGCAACACTAAGCTTTATGGATCACATCCAGATTCCAGTTTTGCTGGATCTATATCATTCTAACTTGATGGATTCCATAATTTCTTGAATTTATTAATAAATTAATAACACTACGCACAAATTTCAAATAATACTCTATAAGTTCCAATACAATTACGGTTCCACAAAAGTAAACTTAAAAAACAGTAAATACAACTAAGCAGCAGTTACAATTGCCTCCTTATTTCAATACGGTCCAATACTGATTTATTTTGCTACATCGTTATATTTTCGTTATCTGCCGACAACGTGGCCGGTTGGCTGTCAGCAAGTCAAATTCAGTTCAAGTTCAAGTTTGGTGTTCAGCAAGTCAGTTCCGCGGATAGGTGTCGATATTCAGTAGAATCTACATCCATCAGTACCGCCACCGCAAAGAGGCAAAGAGGTCCGTGGATTCGTATCCATCCGTATATACACATATCTATTGCCAGCAGACCTTAACGGTTATTTTTATACCGTCCCTATCAGAAATGATTGAGGTGACTGTTGGGTCGGTGAGAAAAAGGGGAAGATGGTGGAAAATTACTTTTATTTCTTATAAATTTGAAATTATGGATAATTTAGAAAAAATGTTTAATTACAACATTCTTGTTACTGTTATGAGGAACAAAATATGTATTGTACAAGAAAATTAAAAGTTATTCAATTAGTTTATTTTGAGTTTCAACATTTTTTATACTTAACTTTTGTTAGTATGTTTTCAACTATTAAGAACAGTTAAAGGAAGCTAAAGAAAGGAAAAAACAATTAGATAAGAGGAGCCAAAAGATTTTTTGTAGTTATATCACCCTAGTAGATATATCCTAATCATTACATATTACACAATTTTACGCACAACATTACACAATTTTTTTCTTCTTGGCAGGCCTAGCACTGATATGATTTGTGTTTGGTTTGGTTTGGTTTGGTTTGTCTGTCGTTTACTCTTCGAATTGATACAATTTGAATTTTGCTTTGTCTGTTTAAATTCCTAGTCTTCTAGGAAAAAAAAACTAATCTTAAAAATGTTTAATGGACCAATTACAGTCTTCAGAATTTTCCTGTCCATACTTATCAGGTCTGTAGTAAATTTTGGGTATGAACTTTTTTTCCTGCTTCTATTCTAGTGAATTTTTCCACAATTCTATAGATACACTGGCTACGCATTGTTTCACTGCCATCTTTTTAAGAGATTTTGTCAATCTGAAGAGGAAACGACACAACAGAACACATTTTATGCCAGTACGACAGTGTACAGGTGGGTCAGATTCGACGCTTTTAAATGGAAACACTCTTTTCTATAGGAGATAGACGAAAACTAATATCGGTGTCTGGAGCTCAATTTTCATCAAAAACATAATGGTGAAAACCGCACATCAATATCTGTCTGTTACCGTTTCGGAGTTACGGGGTGTTTTTCAAAAATGTGCATTTTTAACAAATCGCTGTAACTTTTTTACTATGGAAAATTTTGTATTTCTATGAAAACATTTCCAAAGTACCTTTTTACGTAAAATTTAATGGTTTAAGAATATTTTTTTTAAATTAATAATTTAAGAATTACCAACAGAAAAATTAATTTTTTATTTGGGACACCCTCTCTATTTTTAATTAACTGAAAAGAATTTAAAATTACTTTTCCAAAAATATAGCACACTTGATATTTTGTTATAATCCCCTTCGAAATACAGAATTTTTAAAAGTTCGCCACTTTTAACTAGTAAGCTTTGGACCCTTTACTGATGATATGCCCTTAATGGAACTCGAAAACATATTTTTCCAGCAAGACGACGCACCGCCTCTGAACTCTGAAGTTATCAGCAAATTTTTGCAGCCAATTTCAAGAATAATTGAATAGCTAACCAAGATCCCAGCCGTTGGCCGTTGAAGCCGCCTGACTTAGGGCCCATGGATCTAATCCTATGGATACATTTGCAGAAGAATAAAGGTTCCTTATTCTTTCGTATAATCTAGACAAGAATTAGAAATACTTAGCAGTTATGAGAGGGTGAGTTAATGAATTCCGCGAGAAATGTTTGAAGTGAGTTAATGAATTCCACTGAGTTAATGAATTCCGCGAGAAATGTTCAAAAACTGCCCCGTCTGTCCATAAGATATAGATTAGATCTGTCATTAGATATAGTTTAAATCTGTTGATGTTGGTTAAATATATTTTAAAATGTTATAAAATTCTGCATCTCTCGTAGCAAATATTATTTTCGTGTTAACTGATGCTCACAGCTAGAATTTTTTTTCATTATAGCCGGTGCCGTTCAAAGCCTACTTATTTAAAGCGGGCGAATTTTTATATACTCTATATCTCGAAGAGGAATTGAGCAAAATATCAAATGTGTTATATTTTTCGAAAGGTAATTTTAAATTGGTTTCAATAAATTAAAAATATACAGGGTGTCCCTTATAAAAAATAAAACTTTCTGTTGATAATTCTTAAATTATTAATTTAAAAAAAAAATATACTTAAACCATTAAATTCTACGTAAAAAGGTGCTTTGGAAATGTTTTCTTAAAAATACAAAATTTTCTATATTAAAAAAGTTAGAGCGATTTGTTAAAAATGCATATTTTTGAAAAGCACCCCGTAACTCCTAAACGGTAACAGATATCGATATGCGGTTTTCACCATCATGTTTCTGACAAAAATTGAGCTCGATATTACTTTTTGTCTATCTCCTATAGAAAAGGGTGTTTCCCTTTAAAAGCGTCTAATTTGACTCACCCTGTACATGTGCAGTTTTTTGGATTAGGCAAAAAAAGCAAGTGACAAAAAGTTACATGGACGGTTCAGTCTCAAAGTTATTAGACTTCGTGAAAAGGATGGAATTGGGGAGTATAAGAGATCAGGGAGCAAATTGGGGAACCTAGTTATCAGAAGAGGACACAATAGTTCTAAAAAGGTCATAGTACCACCGGCAGAGAGCCACTTCAAAAATATAATCCCATCTAATGATTATAAAAATCTAATAAAACACATATAATTTTAAAACAAACTGATCAGAAATGAAATAAATTTGAAAAGATGCAAAAACTGCTATACTAATAAATTCCTAAAAACATATTTGGCGTCATATAAAACATTGATAAATATGTTTTTAATTTAAACTAAAGCCATTTTAATGTGCTCCATATAGAGAACCACGTTGTTTCTAGAGATAATAATTTATCATCACAATTCTTGTAGCTTCAATAACCCTCACCATTCCTGTTTTAGAAATATTCAAATAATTTTCTCAGTCTAGATGAAAACTAGGTCACGCGAAGACATACTACTGCAGGAAAAACGTCTACGTTTACACATGTGTTTCGATACGAGTTCTCCTAAATGCACTATGGTCTGGAAGTTAAAAATATACTAGGTATCCCAAATTATATGGATCAATCATTCTGCTCTAGTGCTTTTTAAAAAAAATTGATTTAACTTTAATTTATTTTTTTATATCTTTGTTGTTTTAGAGGAGACACCTAT